TGAGCCATCAATGTCCTTTGATGAATATTAAAGAGATGTGTAATGTCCACATTATGCCTTTTTGCAAATTGGTCTAAAGTCCTCAGTAAATATGTGCAAAGTACCTTGATAGATCAATTTTTTACACATGTAAATTAGCCTTTACTTGTTGAATCACTTAGCTTGGTTGATGAATGGGACCCTGAGATAACATTTAATAGCTTTGCTCAGAAAAGCACACACCTGTCACTTTGCTACTGAATGGGAACACCATCTGGGTCTGTTTCTGTGTTCTTTCTTAATTTGTATTCTCTGGGCTTGATAACTGCTCCCTCTAATAGATTGCTAATGTATATGAGTGATATGAAAAAAACTTAATGAAAAAGGAATACAGTTATGCATCTTGTTTTAATACATGCCCAACAATTTAACTCAGATTGTACTCAAGCCATGGGGGGGCGGAGGCGACAGCATATCGAGTTTTGAATCTCAGTCTGTGTGTGGAACCGATTTTCAGTGAAGGGCCACATTTGTGTGGGCATATACCACATGACATCCAATTAATGCGTTCTTGCCATGGGTTGTGTATGCAATAAACGAAAGATGGTGATAACAAAACCCTATTGATCCATAAAAATAAGGCATCATCTTTAGAGAATTTATTTCATAACAATATAATCTTTTAAAATACATACAAAATTCACAAAAGTTTCAACCCAGTCACAAGTTATACTGGGGGGGCTAGTTTGTCTTAGTATTTTAGCTACATTTTGTCAAGCCATTAGCCATCACTAGTGACAGCTGAGAAGAAAAATTCTCCATCTGTGGATGATCCAATGACCTTGCAAAGTCCTCCATAGCCCTCAGTGTTGTACTCTTGGGCATGGGCAAAAGTACAATGCTGACATTGGCTACAGGCAGCAGAAGAACCAGGAACTGAGGAAGATGGTGGTAGCTGTGGGGAGCAGGATTTGGTAAGTAAAACTTCTCCTGCACCCCTCATCCCCACACCGCCAGAAAGGCAGTCACCCGCAGGGGTCTTTGCAAATTAGTCAAAGATCCCAGATGGTGACAGAGCCGCTTTAAGCTAAAACAAAGCATGAACATACACACAAAAGAGAGACAGAACCTATCACAGGTGATACAAAAGTGAGAGTATGGTCAGATATTATTTTTTAGCATAATGACATTTGTCTGTGAAAAAAGAATAACCTATTCCACAGTGTTGAAGAAAGGAAAATGTTACAAACAGGTATACGTGCAGTTAAATGTTATATAACATACATATAGGTCCTCATTACTGATCCCTCTATGGTTCCACTAAAAAGGTCCAGCCACAAGACATTTCCTGTAACTTCATCCTATAAGCTTGTTTATGCTTATGGAACTCACAGTTGCCAAGCAACAATGAAAGAGACAAACCCATTTGAAATAGTTCAAATCAGAAAAATGAAATCCAAATGTTCATATAAAAAGGTGCTCAGTTCCTCTCTATATACATAGCATTACAAAGGTATAAAACAAAAACATAATTTCTTATGTGTCATATTTTTATGTAATAACAGATTAATAAGGAACAAGGAACCTACTAAAACATCAGAATTAGTGGGTATTAAAGAAAACTGGCTTGATGATAAAGCATTTCCATTCTTAGGAACATGCAACCAAGTACTTTAGTGCACCCTCAATTAAAGCAGCAGTGCATGACCTATTCTGCAATAATATAATGAGGTTATTTAACAGTAAATCAGATGCTATGGATGTGGCAGGAACAATAGGTATTCACCTTTTGAAGCCCAAATTGGGAAGGTCAGTCTCTTCATGTGTAAAAGGTAATACATTGATTAAAAATCATTTTAAAAGGACACTCCACTGCCCAAATACAAAAAAAATAAAAATCACAGTTCAGTAGATATATTCCATATGGAAATGTGCATGCATTTAATTATGCATTTTTCATTGGAGTTATTTTTAAAAACAGCTTGCAAAACATGCATATCTCTTGTCTGCTGCCTTTGCAAGGTCTCCCCTTCTAATCCCGTCCAGGCTCTACTGTGGCTGTCCAATCACAGACTTCTCAATGCAGCTCAAAGAGAAGTCTTAGTAAGGCAGGTGCTGTCTCTTGACTTCAGTGCAAATAAACTAACCAAAGCAGGAAGTAACATTACCTGTTGACTGCTTGAAAAGCCAGGAGGGTGCAACCATTATAATTTATAAAGTGTAAATGGCTTTGGAAACCTGCATTATATCCAAAATAAAAAAGGAGAATACATTCTTCACATATAAAGCTTTTTGCCAAGCTAAAGTGCTTTAGGGGTCTGCAGTGTCCTTTAAACTTCTAAATGTATGTAATCAACAAATCTTTATTCACCGAGGTTGGGACTTGAAAACTAATGACATGAACACTAAACATCCATATTCATATCTCATTAGCTGCAGCAAAACAGCAACATAGTATTTTATATTTAGAATTTTGGTCAACGACTTATGCATCGTTTCCACTGAGTGGAACGGTTCTGGTCGGTTCAGTACAGTACGCTATTTTGAGTGTTTCCATTATGAAAGTGACCCATACAACCGAACCGAACCGCACCATTCCTGGTTCTCCCTAAGATGTAGGGCCGTAGGAAATGGTACGGTACGGTTAGGGCGGAGCTACTAGCGTCACACTATACAATCCATTAATTGGCGAACAGGAAAACATCCATATTCATATCTCATTAGCTGCAGCAAAACAGCAACATAGTATTTTATATTTAGAAGTTTGGTCAAAGACATATGCCTCGTTTCCACTGAGCGGAACGGTTCTGGTAGGTTCGGTACAGTACTCTATTTTGAGTGTTTCCATTATGAAAGTGATCCATACAACTGAACCGAACCGCACCATTCCTGGTCCTCCCTAAGATGTAGGGACGTAGGAAATGGTACAGTACGGTTAGGGCGGAGCTACTAGCGTCACACTATACAATCCATTAATTGGCGGACAGGAAAACGTCAATGCTCACGACAAATGACACGCTAGGCATTTTTTCTAAACCCTGCATGGCCCCTGGCAGTCCGACTTGCCTGAATAGGCTGGAACATTCTAACCCTTCCAAACTGTACCGACCCGAACCGTTCCGCTCAGTGGAAACAAAGCATTAGTGTACCACTGTCTAAACTCTAAGCCCAAAGAAGGAGCACATGTAATCTTTCAAATGCAAAGAAAATTTTAATGTATCGGTATGTGTAGGCTAATATTTTGCCAAGCCTAATCTTTTTCCTGTGGCTTCCCTAAACAAGTCTACAGAAGGCAGGTACCATGTTAACTTTCTGAGAGAAATGTAAATATCCTACTTTATGGTGTGTGTTTAGTTGGTGGGATTCTGGAACACTGAGTAGTCTTTCTCTTTGTTTTATTCATCTGTTACTTAATAAGCAAAAAAATATCTAAAACCGTCAAACCATCAAAACCATTTTGTATTTTGTTTAATTCTTCTTTTCTTTTCTTTTTCCAGGGAAAGTAACAAGTGCCACGACAACATTACATAATATTTCATCAACATCATCTTTAACATTACTTTTGGCATTGGTAGTACCAACGACAACTTCGTGGTGAAGAGGAATATTTATTTACTTATTTAGTTATTTATTTTGCTTTTTTTTTTATTATTATTTATGATTTTGTTTTTATCGGTGACATGATCAGAAAGTTTCTTATACATGAAGACATTTGAGATCCTTTACCTACTCATCAATGAAACACCCAAAGACTAAATAAAATAAACTTAGAGCTGTGCTGGCAAAAATATTTTTAGCATTGTTAACTGATGAGATTTTATTTTCCTTTTTTTTTTTGATTATTGATTATATAGGAAGGCTTGCAAATCACCTGTACAAGCTTCTGTAATGACAAACGTACAGTACTTTTGGTTATATTATCTAGGTTATTTTATATGCTTTCTACTGAGTGGATAACTGATTACTGGAGTGTGTACCCTTAACTTGTTGAAGCAGTGGTGTGCAGTACATACATACATAGAGTACGTGTTATGTACTATAGGTCTGGTGATATATCTACATGCACTCTTTAAGCCTCTAAATCACTACAAATAGTGATTAAAATAAAAATACGACTCAACGATTACAGATTTATTACGATGCAGAAAAATATAATTTCTTTCATTGAAAATCTTTACCTACTTGAAGATGCTTATTTTTTTCATAAAACGATAAATAAGAGAACGAGAGAACATTTAGAATAAAATACTGCACTATATGTATATATATTGTTCTACATAGTGAAATCTACTTAAAGGAGCAGTCTGGTTATATTAAAAGTGTCTTTTTTTAAATTACACTCTGTTCATTTTTATTTAATTCTACATCACTGATTGGGATTTAGCTTCTTTCTTGTTCCCGTTTGCTAATTTTGTTATCATCACTTATCTAACAAGAGTCCATGAATGTGTAGCAGAATATGGAAATGTCAGCAAACCTTCCGGGTCCACCACATGGAAATTGTTGTGTACTCCTTATTTATGGTATAATTGATGAGACTACACACACAGAAAAAGTTCAAAGCTTGCTGCAAAGTGGTGATGTCCCCAAAAGAACCCAAGACTTCTCAAAAAGTAGATATAATTACTTGAATAACAAAACAAATGCTGTAATAATCCATCGAATGTGTGTTCACGTGCTCTCTGGACATTCATAAGACTAGCTTCATTTTCATGAACTACAGCTTAGAACATTTTTTTATTTATTCACAAAAATATTGTTAAAGAAAATGAAGTTAAAGAAATTATATACTTTACATGTCTAAATCTGGAGTTTACTATCCCTTTAAATCATTTCTAATTTTATTATTGTCCTGTAAGACTTGAAACTATTAAACAAATTCTCAATAACATGAATAAGTCTAGTTTACAATACAAAAATACAAAAAAATTAACAAATCTTGTATAGTATTTATAACAGGACTTCAGAAAAATAAAGTAATTAAAATAGTTATACTTATTTTTTTTTAATTAATTTGTTAACTTATGAAGAAGTTAAAAACAACTAATCATAAAGTATATACAAACATAAACAATGCTTTCACATGGAATTAATACAAAATGTGCGCCACTCTGATACATATAAATAAAATCCCCTAAAATAAGCTTGCGGGCAGCATGTATGTAGCTTCTCTGTCACTATATACAACTGTCATTCTTACCTATCGTTTAAAGTTGAAAATGCAGCTTTCATTATCCTGTGTATTGAAAAGTCAACAATGCTTCAAAGTATTTGGCGTTTGTATTAATAGCATGCTGAGACAAGATCACATATATATGTAAAAGATATGGGACTGGTTAAAGAGGGTAATGTGAACTGCAAGATAAAACGGCAGAATGAAGCCCGTCTGACTCAATTTAAAAACCAAAGCTATGTTATGATTTAATATTATAATCTGTGTTTTGTTTTCAGTCAATCAGAACACAGAATTCAAATAGTGGCCAATGTTCTGAATGTGTACACTTTTCCGAGTATGTATTTAAAAAATTTAGAAAAATTCACACTTTTGTAGAAGATGAATATACGATTATTTTCCCTTCTCAAACTGTTATACAACACTGATCTCCCAAGATATACAATTTTTTTTATATATATTATGGTGTCTGTTAGAAAAGGCAATGGTAGCAACTTTATTTTCACCATCATAGACAACTTTTAAAATATACATTTTGTTCAGAGTGTTTAAATCTGTAAACATATTTTTCAATAAAATAAAAAAAACAATTTCTACCAAACCTGGATTTTCTGCAGACACGATGGGCACTCACCTGACACCATCAGGTCATTGCAGCTAGTTAAACCTCTCTATCACTTCTCTTTTCTACAATGTGATGGTGAACCTAGCAATCTTAATTACATTTCCACAATCTGCAGTGTGTCTGCTGCTAGTTTCAATAGTTTCAAATAAAATTAACCTTTGCTGGAATCATAAAAACATCTTAAAAAATTATTTTCTCCTAAAAAAAAAAAATTGATTCCAGAGGATTGCATAAATTGACACGTTAGCTAAAATATATAGGATTATTTTAACTTAAACAAAAAATAAATAATATATAAAAATTAAATGTTATTCAATCATCATTGGACAAATTGTCCACGTGCATTTTTGGCCTTTTCATTCCTGGTCAGTGGTCGCTTCAAGGTTTAGAAAAGATTACCTTGTCGCAAGGGTTCATACACTGCCAGAGATTTTAGATAATATTTCATTGCTGTTCCAAATACAGCAATGTCCTACTCCCAGATAATCAATAAAGACTCAAGACTTTCTCTGGCTTGGTAGGGCTTCTCTATAGATCGCAGTAGGGCTTTACAGTCTCAAAACAATGGGAGAGATGAGTTGTTTCTGTATAAACTGAATTTTAGTAGAGCAGATCACATGCTGACTACTGAATCCATTTATAATTTACTGAACATTGTATGTGTTATAAACAAAAATAACAAGCATGAATTTTCCCAGCAAAGTTCTAAGCCTTACAAATCTTTAACTAATATGCTTAAATAAGACCTATATGGCTGTGACCACACTAATTCTTCAGTATATGTCACACATCCCATGACTAGCGAATATCTATATAATAATCCTAAAGGGGGGTTGTTTTTTTTAGGAAAATAAATTGTGGATACAGGATTTTGTTTTTAAAAAATTGAGGGATCTCTACTCATTTCTCAGAGCAACGCAAATGTAAAGATGAGACTTACAATTGCATGTAAGTATATTTCTATATCACCATGCAACATATATTTTTTAATATACTTTTTTGACCTAGAACACATTTAGTAGCCTAGCATTATACGTGTTGACACTTATAGCAGATCAGACATATCCTGGTGGCATGACCTTACCTCCACCTCATCAGTGTGGCCCCTGCAGTGTATAAATGTCTCATGAGATATGAACCAAAATATATTGAGAAAAAAAAATGGTTGTGCGAATAATTAATGTTTCACACAAGTTAAAGTTCTTGCAAAGGTTGCCCACAAAATGCACTTTGTCTATATTTAATGTAAAGTCCGCAGGTTCAACAGCATATTGAAGTTTTAATGAAGACAAAAAAACTCAAAACATAAAAATACAGTTTCAGCCACATGGCCTTAATCATATGTAAAGGATGCATGTACAACCTAACAGTTTAAATACCTGTAGTTTCAGAGCCAACATTGAGAGCTCCTCCCAGGGGTGTGTGTCCAGTTACCATAGTAACCACCCAATAAGTACATAAATGATGCTATTTTGTGTTGGTTATTAACCCTTTCCCTCCCAACATCTTGTTTACTTGTGTGAAAGGAGTACTATAGGGTCAGGAACACAAACATGTATTCCTGACCCTATAGTGTTAAAACCAGCATCCAGTCACTCTGGTCCCCTCATGCCTCTATAAATATAGTAAAATCTTACTTGTATGCAAGCCCTGTTTCCTTTAAACCTGCCCACTACCTGCTGAAATCATCAGAAGTTGTAGCCTGATCCAATCACAATGCTTCCCCATAGGATTGGCTGAGACTGACAAGGAGGCACATCAGGGGCAGAGCCAGCACAATTCAAACACAGCCCTGGCCAATCAGCATCTCCTCATAGAGATGAATTAAATTAATGCATGTCTATGAGGAAAGTTCAGTGTCTGCGTGCAGAGGGAGGAGATACTGAATGTTTGAATGCATTTTAGGCAGCCATGACCCAGGAAGGATAACAGCCATCTGAGGAGTGGCCAGTGAAGTTATCACTAGGCTGTAATGTAAACACTGCATTTTCTTTGAAAAGACAGTGTTTACAGCAAAAAGCCTGAAGGTAATGATTCTACTCACCAGAATAAATTCAATAAGCTGTAGTTGTTCTGGTGACTATAGTATCCCTTTAACTTTCATTTTGCTTTGCAAATCAATGCTCTAGTTTTGGTTTTCACTCTGCAGAGAAAGCATTTCACTCCCAGTGCCCTATTTAGTTTCTATGCAGAGGGACTGCAAAGTACAAATATTCCTTTCTTTCACATTGTACAGCAACCTTTGTAGGTCAAACTTTTGTGCATCATTCTATCAGCAAATGTAGTTGGAGTGCTCTAAGCATACACAAAACACATAAACAATACAAACATGTAATACCCAGTAATATACAAACATTTGACCATTAATATTTTTTATACAGTGTATTTTTTTTCTAAATTTACTGAATTTAATCTTTGAGCAATCAGTAAGCAAAATCGTTAAATTCTATATGTGCTAGTTATGCATCCCCTATTTTAAACCAATGTTATGCTATTTCCTTGATAGTAAAGAGGGTAAACATATAACTTGTTCCAAGGTATTTACTAAAGTAAGATTTAAAAGGGAAATGAAAATTGAACTTCAACATTTGTTATTTTGGTCTTATATTTGAAATTAATTTTGAATTTACCTTAAATTCTGACTTTAGGGAATTACTTTGCCTGAGTGTCAGATTTGACGTGCCATCATGCACTGTCTGAACTTGCAGTTCCTTGGTTTGTATCTTCAAACCCGTAGGCATTCAAAGTGTTAAATTAGCTTGCCTGAGAAGGAAAATCACTTCAACAGTCATTAAACGATAATCACTTTTCCGTTGTCTTTTTTTTTTTTTCAATTCTTCTTCATGCCTGTAGATCTGTGAGAATATTTATAAATGGCTGTTCGGGTTATTGCAACATTTAATAGTGCCTTTAAGAATGAATGTCAAGCAAAACAAAATCCGGATTATTAGAGGACTGTGGGTGTGCAATACATGCTTCACAATACCCATTTATTATTTAATAGACCATTCTTGCACACATTATCAAAAGAACATTTCAATCGTCAAATATAATATGTGCATACAACATTTTAAAACAACAGAGACACGGTTACAGCGGATTTGTCACATGTGAGTTTTTAAGATATATTTTTTTTTTCAAAGATATGCTTTTTTAATTCTATTTAAGTTTTGCTTAAGATCAGTTTTTCAAAGAGTTTAGAAAGCACATAAAATACTTTTGGTTTTTATGTCAATTCCATTTCCATCAGTCAATAATCAGTTAACGGTTGATATATATTAAATCACAAAACTGGACTATGTGATAAAAATGCACTTAGGTGGGAAAATTGCCGTGGCACTAGTTATTATGTGTGATTATCTTAAAGGCCAATTTTGTATTTTTACAAATGTCCTATTTGTCCTGCTAAAATACCAGCACTGAAAACAGAGTATCTGATACTACTTTTGGACAAGTATTAGCTTCTTTCCAATTGTTTTACATTTTGAAATTACATTCTCTCACTTTTTCATATTTTAGCTCGAAACACACAAGTGACAGATCCCTTATATAATACCATATATAAATAGTTACCTATTACAAAAATGTATACTTTAATGCAAATCATTTTAGCAGGTTTATAATGTAATCATTGGACTTATAATAGAATGTCATACTTGGGATTGTAGCCTAAAATAGATTGTGAGCACATCCACTAGTTGCCAAAACTTTTCTTTATACCACTATATAAATGATAAATCCATATTAACTAGTACAGGCTAACCTTGACATCACAGATCTTAAAAGGACACTCTGAGCATCAAAACCATTTACAGACTGCTGTAGTGGTGGCAGGAGTCCTCTGGCACCGTCTCACAGTAAAATGTCACATGATTTAGGTTTAACAACTTACCTGGGTTCTGCCAGATGCCTGCGTAGTATCTACTGCATTCAGTGTTCTCTAGCAGAAGATGTTGGTTGTCACATTATTGCCAAGCAGGACTGTAATCAATGGCTGAGATTTTGCTCTCCATCAATGATTGTCACTTGACATTGCTTTTTATTGACATCTGCTGGAGAAGATTGAGTGTTGGATGCAGAGGAGCTGCCCAGGTAAGCTGTCAAACTGTGCTAAAATAGCTAAATCTTACTATGAGATATTAACAGCGCACTCCTGTAGTGGGTATAGTGTTTGGACCATTTCTTTAGAGCTACCTATGCATCATGGAACATGTAATATGGAGTCATTACTGGAATGGGCTAAATTTTGAAAATAATTATTATTATACACAATCCTATAACATAATTATATACAATCCTATGACATAACTTCACTTAGCACAAAAAATAGAGCACATTGTATACTCTATAAAGTTTTAATGATACATATTCGCACACAAATGTTGACACTGTTCAATTAATACATTTAAAAATTCATTGTTACTAAGTAGTGATGTCCCGAACGGTTTGCTAAAAAAGGTTCGCCACGAACAGTTTGCCGCGGACTCATCATTGAGTAAACTTTGACCCTGTACTTTACAGTCAGCAGACACATTCCAGCCAATCAGCAGCAGACCCTCCCTCCCAGGCCCTCCCACCTCCTGGACAGCTCACTAAGAAGGCAGCTTCAAAATGGATGCTGTCCAGGAGGTAGGACGGTCTGGGAGGGAGGGTCTGCTGCTGATTGGCTGGAATATGTCTGCTGACTGTGAGGTACAGGGTCAAAGTTTACTCAATGATGAGTCCGTGGCGAACCGTTCGTGGCGAACCGTTCGTGGCGAACCGTTCGCGAACCGTTCGCGAACCATTCGGGACATCACTATTACTAAGTAGTTCGTATAACACTAAAACAACTTTGTTATCCTTTTCAACTCTTTGTTCCGCATAAGTAGTTTTGAAATCTATGTGCGCATTCTCTGAACTTCTACGAATGACACATTTTTTAAATCAAAAGACTTTATTAATCCAGATTTTAATATTTGCATTACAGTTAAATTAAGGCTATTTCTTTTACTGAATAAATATGTGAAATGTCTTTTGTAAGAAAGTGTTCCATAAACTCACGTAACCTATAATTCTGGCTTTGTTTAGAAATACGAACACTTTGTAGGCAGCATTATTGTTAATGTAATAATACTGAAAACTTCCATAAAGTCTTTGTTTTCAGAAAGAGAATGGTTTGCGATGCAAAAAAAAAAATCTGATATCAACTTATTAACACCTGCCATATTTTTAATGGACCACAATGAAACGTTAAATAAAAGATTTATTTCTAAAAGAAAAAACACAAAAAAACTCTGTAGCTATAGGATAAAGTTTCGTAGCAATTACCTTTATTTTGTTACATTAGTAACATTTTCATTACTTGTTTAACCCTTTGAATGACAAATTAATTTACAATGTGCCTAATATAATTTATTCTTCATATGTTTAGCAGGCTGATTACCAAGACAATTCAACAAGTTTCATAATTCGTTCTCAAGTTCCACTAACCATCACCTTTCCAAGCATGTGAAATGGTTGTAAGTCCGACTTCATAAGTGATGTATGTATTTATCTTAATAAATAAGGAGAGCGTATGTTTTCATGAAAGAAATAGAATTAAACATGTTTAAATGTTTAACTGATTATGTCAAATATATTTTGTAAATTGGCCTTGTCCTTAACATTGGATTATTTAATGTTTTTTCCTTTTTTGCTTTTGATCTCATTTATTACTTCTGCAGTAAGGTTTAACCCTTTAAATATCGGAGAAGAGTGCCTTCAATGAATTGCACAAGTCTTAAGTTTAAAGGGTTAAGCCACTCTGTTCCATGTAGCATCGGAAACTGTAATTGAACTAGATTGTATACCTTCAGTAGAAAGATGCAGTTCTTGTAAAGACATCTTTACAAAATATAAAGTAAGAATTTGGTTGTAGGTTGGGAAATCTGATACTGTAATTATTAATATTGTATGTTAGAAATCTTGTATACAATGTGTATATACTATATATAGTTGTATACTATGTGGAAAACACACTAAATGAATGAATGGTCCCTGTGTACTGTTCTTGTTATCATTAGGTCTTTTTAATAAATAATTCTCTTTTTATTGACTTCTATCCTGTGTCCTGTCGTCTATTGAATGAGATCATTTATTATTCAGTGCAAATTTCATGATGGGTGCACTGACATTTGCTTGCCGGATTCTGGAAAGTAATTGCTTTTCAAAAATGTCAACAAGTAGAAATGGGAAACTGGTTCTTCCAAGAGATTCCAACCAATCACGATGGAGAATGATCACTTTTACTTTGGGTGACACTATATGATTTCAATAGTGGCTTATCGCTTTGTTTTTGGAAAAGGTTGCAACATTTCACAAGCAATTTATTTAAGTGAAGTGATCAGAATGTATTAATAATGTTAAATATACTTAGTGGTGTCCTGAGTTTTGCAGAGATTTTCAGTACAGGGGTTTATAAAAATAATGAAAGGAAAGTGCAGATAGCAAAATAATAACATATAAGTGTAATTATTTTTTTAAAAATACACACAAAAAATATTTTTTTGTTGCAAATTTGTGTAATCAAACACACAAAAAAATATATATGTCCATGTGCACTTTTATGTATTAAATTTTAATATAAACTGTAAACAAATTGGCTAGCACTTTGGGATTTATCTGCAAATGTGTGTGTATTTATAAATATATCCAAAAAAACTTTACCAACAAAAAGCAGGATGAAGTGGAAAATATATATAAATTCAACTTAACTTTGTAAAATTGAATAGCTTGCCAAAGGTACCTCCCAAGTAGTAACCTCTTTTATATCAGAAATATACATCACACAAGTAAGGAATACAGCTGTTAGAAAAAAAAATAAACAACACATAGTGTAATATGTCCAAATTAATATCAAAATTATTTTTTTACTGATAACACTCACAATGTGATAGAATTCTCTTCGCCTTATGGCTGACTCCCAAGATGGTGTTGGGGGGCTAGTATACCTCCTGTCCATCTCTAGATGTATCCTTGCCAGAACCAGGTTACAACAGGAACTACAATCAGGAATCCAAGGAAGGGTAAATAATTGCTTTGTTTATAATCAAAGTAGATTGTAGAAAATTGATAAAATTCCACAAAATAATAAAGCAAAGAAATATATAAAGTAAATAGGATCAATTTTGGATTACACCTTTGCTTTCTTCACACGTTTATTTCTAGGGTGTTCAAGGTCGTCTTGGAAGTAAATGGGGCTAATTGTTTGGATCAAATTAATTAATTATCTTGTCCTCAACAGTAATTCTTAAAATGTTTTGTTTGATAAAAACTATGGATGTTATGAAGACTCCTGGAGGATCTTTATTTTGCTTTAATTCTCTGCGTTGAGCATCCATTGATTTCCACATTGGATGTAAACTGAAGACTACAACCATTGCTCAAGGCGAGGGAGCCACATGAGATATAAGACCACCATAGCTCTTGGGTGTTATGGATGGAAGACAAAACCAAGTCTTTCATGGTATTATGATTGTATTTCAAGTTATTTCTGGGCCCTTTAATTGGAGAGATTATGTATAAAATGCCTTAAATTTTCACAGTTTATGGTAAATGGATAAAAATAGCCTTAAAGTAAATCAGACAGTTTGCTCGTTATGTATTTTTTTTTATGGAAACAAATAACTCATATTTACATGTTATTGAATAATATTTTATGCTACACATTACTCACATTAGATAGCGAGTTTTTTTCTTTTTTATAAATGATGCTTACTTCATCCCCTTTTTAATTGGCCAAGGACTTAAAGATGTAAGAGTTCTATTGTATTAAAGAGTTCCTTGTACATTAATGTGACAGATATGGGGACATCAAGTGGAATATACATAAAAGGAAATGAATTGGATAGTTTGGTATCAAAGGATATTGATAGATTTCCTCCACTTCTGGTAAGCCATAAAAGCAGACCAGAGTAGCCAAGAAAAACATGTCTATATTAATAATGGCAAGAAAATCTTCTGGAAGAATTAAATACACAATTCTGACTGCAGACATATAATAGCATTGTGCACATATGTATTTGGCTAAATAGTTAGCAACTGTAAGCGAGGTCCTCATCACTTTCTCAAAATCTAAATTAAACTGTTTCTTTAGCCATTTTTGATGTCTGTGAGTGATCAACAAATATGAACACAATTGCAAAGCAATAACACAAACCACTTCCTCAAAGTATTCTCAATATACAACTCTATTCTAACTCACTTCCATGCCTGACAGTGAGAGAACTAATGTAGAGAGGGCCCTGGTTCAAATAATTATTTTGGGCCCCACTTTACTGCAAGGATTGACAAAAGGTAGATATTCAATTGTCATACAACTCACACAGTACATGGGGATCTACAATTTACCCATCCTTGAATGTTTGTATTTTAGAGCAATGTCTTTGTGATTGAATGTAAGCATGTTTTGGTATGGAGTGTGTGAATGTGTGTGTGAATGAAGAATATTTGTGTGCAATATTCGTGTTTGAATGCAATTGTGAGTTTGTTGGTAATGTTATTTGAATGCAGAGGTGTTTTTCTTTGTTGTGTTGGCTTTGACTGCAAGGGTATATATGTGTGTAGCCTTGGCATTTCAATGTCGTTGTTTGGTTCTATGTAATGGTGGCAATTGAATGCTAGGTTGTGTTTGTGTGTAATGTTGGGGTTTCACTATAGGGGTGTCTTTGTATTTAGTGGTGGCATTTGAATGCAGGTGTTTTTGTGTGTAATATTGGCATTTGAGTGCAGGGGTGTATTTGTAGGTAATATTGGTGGTTTGAAGCAGGGCTGTGTTTGCATGTATTGTTGTTGTTTTAATGCTGGGATATATGCATATACACAGATACACTAACACACAGGTACATATACACACTGAAGCACACAGAGATATACACTGACACACACCAAATGCATACACACAAATTGGTAATGATTTACATATTTTAGCCACCCTCCTGTTTCCATACCTTTTAGGTGATGGAGGAAGGCTCCTGGAATAGGGCTACAGCATTTGCTTGCTGAGGCTGGTGCTTTGTACTATCTTTCATTCTATTCACCCCCTCCTCTCTCTCCCTCCTCCCCCCATGTGGGGCTCTGAGTAAGTGACCTGTACTCACTTACTTCCAGCACCGTGATCTGATATGGGCCAGTGCTCTGTTAAAGGGCCGTGGCGCCACACTAGGCCCCTGATCAAACATGCATATTAGGTCACCTTAAACTAGGACCACCCAATGAGCACATCCAGCTTGTGGGCCCCAGTGCCTGTTCAAGGTAGTTCCGCCACTAATGCCTCTTGCTTTAACAACAGTAATTCTTATGAATAAAACACAGAGCAAAATTTATTAAACAATTGGTTTTATTAAACGTCTCACTCAAGGTGGGGTCCCGTTGAAGTCTACCCTAGTGAACATTCTGTTCTCAGATGCCCATACATGCAAACTTCAACATAATTTAATATGTACAACCTCACTATCACAAGTCCTCATGGAAGTGTTCTTTCTTCCTACCGAGTTCTCTTTTTCTAAAACTATTGACAATCTCTCTTTGCAAAAAAAAATCTTCTTGACAGTTAACACAGTTCTTGAAAATGCATATCCAAAGTTCCAAAAACATCATTGTAAAATGGAGAATGGTCAGAACAAAATGGATGGAAGACCAGCAAGCTCTGGGTCCTGCCTACTTCAATCAGATGATCACATTATTTTTAATATTCTTTGAAAATATTATCAATGTTTTCTATGTGATAGATTTCACAACAAAATGTATTAAATTAACTACAGCCATTACGAGCCAGTGTTTTCAGATATACATTGGAAGGTTTTAATGCATTGTCAGTATCTGTTTTCTGCCTGAGTAACTGTACTCAGAAAATTGAAGTTATGTTTGACTAGTGAATTGTACATTTTAGGCGACAATAACTAAGTTGGAAAATAGCCATATAGGACAAAATTTCTAATTCAACTAGTTGGCCAAAAAATTGAAACTCACTGCTCACTTCCTAGCAGTTCAAAATTTAGTGACAAACCCTGCTAGCATTTTGCTCTGCAATTTATATTTAAGGTATTTTGTAATGCAGGAACAAACATTTTATCTGAAACACATTTATTTGGTTGTGGGTTTCTGCTTCTGAGTAAATATCACCTCAGGTGTGAAATGCATTACTCATTGCTCTTCAGATGCTATCTGCTAGCACTTTACAATCTGTTTGTGCTCCTGTGAATTTTAATTTAAATTCCAAAAAAAGTTAAGTGAGTAAAGGGTAGTGGCTTCTGATTATCATATGTCACACAAATATTCATCCCATTCTTTCTACAAATGTAAACTAAACTGTGCATAACATAAATTTTGAAAAATGCTCATAAAATGGCTGCAGGTTAGGTTGTGTTTATAGTTTGTAGTGTTTTATGTAATGATTGTAAAATAAAAAAAAACACTATTTTCTACCTTTTCATTGTTTCACTATTCATGTTTTTTTAAATCAAATTCACACGTTTTTCGTAGGCTCACTTAAATATTTTTCTCGTGTTTTTGTCTCCGCAAGACTATCTTAAATCTCAAATGGAATTTTAAGTGTTTGTACATTTTTCCAAATTGACACAGACATGATGTTTCTTTTTTTTTAATTTCTCCTATTATTTTTAGTACTTTGTGAGGTTTTAAAAGAAGACAAAAGACTTCTGAGAACGGACATGTTTAAATTCTGATTGTCACAGGACAAAGGACTATTTTTACAGTTCTTACAGAATTGAAGGTTTATAATCCTAATAGGATAAAATAATATATTGTCATAGAAAGTGTAGAATTTCAAATCTGAAAGGACTGCTATTTATTTATTTATTTTTTGTATAGAAAGACTAAAAATGGATTTGAGAATGTTTTTTCTATTTTTTTTTTTAAATCAATCATGATGGGGTTTAAAAAGAAGATCAAGAATGAGAAAGAACTATGTGATCTCAATTGTTTAAAAGTTCTACTTGTATCAGATAAGAAATAGTATCAATTTAGAATAGAAAATTATGTTCAGTCAGGCATGTGGTCAAC